TCCAAAGCTGAGGAGCTTGTTATAATATTTTACCAGGCTGGCTTGTCTTCTGGTATGGAGAGGCAAAAGGTTAGCTTCATAATGTGCAATGTTGGCTGGGCAACTCTGTTTCAAACCTGTGATAATACGGGCAGCACTAAGTTGGACCTGTTCAAATTTATTTAGATGAGTCTCAGAGGCACAGCAGAAAATTGGTGAACCGCATTCGAGAATAGGCCTTATGAGAGCCAGAAAGGTAGTTCTCAGAGTGGTCGCATCCGCACCCCAGTCTCTGCCAGCGATGTACTTCAAGATGTTCAAACGCTTTCTAGCTTTCAAGGTAATTTGATAAATATGCTTATTGCTAGTAAATTCAGGGTCAAGAACAAAGCCTAAGTATTTTGGATGTTTCTCATAGATAAGTTCCTGGCTCTCAAAGACCAGTTTTGGGTGATAATTATACAAATGCTTATTTGTAGTGAAGAAGGTAGTTGCAGATTTGATTGGATTGAAGTGAAGTTTATGGTCAGCAGCAAAAAAAGAGATAAACTCCAAAGAAGCATTGAGTCTGGACTCCAAGTCATCCAGATTGTTTCCTGAGCTCCAAAGGACAATGTCATCAGCAAAGAGTCCAATATTTGTGCACAACAATAAATTTAAAAAAGCATCATAAAAAAACTTTCATTGAAATGATAGGTATAACCAAAACTGTTCTACTCTGCATCCTCATATTTATTGATTTTAAATTTAAAAAACAGCGTCAAAAAAGTTAGAAGCAATAAAATAGCTGAAAAAAATAAAAAGCAAATAATTTTCTTCTTCTTTTTTTTCTACGGAATTACATTCTAAAGATACTTTTCTTGTTCATCGGAAAGGAAAGAAATACTATGGATTTTTCTGTTCTCATTTTGGAATAAAAAAATTTGCCAATGGCTTGCCTTCAGCTAAAATTTTAAATTGATAAAATCAAAATAATAAAAAAAATTCTGAAATGTTTTTTTTTTTTTTTTTNATAGAAAACCATAATTTTTAAAGAACACGATAAAAACATTTTATATTCTAATCAAATATGACTGTGAGTGGGGACTTTGTTACAAATTCAGATATTCGGAATACTATCTAAATCTATGATTTTTCTTAAAAATAGTTAAAATCATGACCAATTTTTTTAAATACCAAAATTCATGACTTTCCATGATTTTTCACGACTTTCCAGATGCGTGGATACCCTGCATGCACCATGTCTACTTATTTCCTTATAAATAATTTAAGAGTGGAATTCTTTAACATTCAAGGAAGGAATATTTTTAAAAATTCCTTTCTTTGTTGAATGTGGAGAAAGTGTGCATGCAACAGTCACAATGAGGGAGCCATAGGCAGTGATGTTTTGTTATGCAAGAATTGCTACTGCATTCTAATTTCAGACATTCACTAAAATGTTGCTTTCTTCATACATTACAGTCCTTACACAATACATCATTATACACAGTCCCTTGCCAAATCATTAGACGCAATCGATATGAAATCTTAATTATCAGGTGATACTATACAGTTTTATTGTTTTTACGTGACTGAAACGAGTTTGAACTTTTTTATGTTTTTGTATCCATTGGTTAAATTAGACGATATATCAACGTAAATTCGAGGATTGGATAAATTAGACAATATATTATATAAATATAGAATATTTATTACATTAGTATATTAAAATAATTAGACCAAATTATTATACGCACAGTAGTGTTTTAATAATGTTTTGCAGGAGTTTATATCTAATACTTTTACATTTAAACATACATGTAATGGGTTTTTATTCAGATTTTTTTCATAATTCCTATTTCAGGGTGCATAGCCAGATTTTTTCAACAAAAAATAAGCACCTTTTAAGTACTTTTCAAGCACTCACAAAATATTTTTAACCACTTTCCGAAAAAAATCAGAATTAGGATCTGTGGAGTAATAAAAAAAAATTTTTCTATCGTTTAAAGTTCTTAATTTATAAACATAAAACATAGTAATAGTAAAATTCAAAAACTTTACATAATCATGATTAAATAATGACATTTCTGATAAATATTGCCTGGAAAATTGTGAAAATCACGCATTTTTTGTAATTTAGAACGACAGTCAACACGGCAAAGAATAATACATTTTTGAAAGATAGAAAATTAAGCACTTTTACAATGTAAATCAAAAACAAGCACTTTTTTAAAAATGCTATGCAACCTGTATTTATTTTTAATGTATTGCATTACAGTGTCAATCAATTGATACAATAAACGTAAACAAGTGCAAACAGTCTCGTAAAAACAATAAAGAGCTGTATAATATCACCTGATAATTAAAATTTTACATAGAATCTTACAGTGCGTCTAAAAATTTGGCCAGGAACTGTGCACAATACATATCAAAACAGTATCACATTATAAATTTATTTATCTTAAGGACAATTTTCATTGACCTATTATTATATTTGAAATGAATTTAGATTATAAACTACTGTAGACAAAAATATGTTTAACTAGCACTGGAAGATTAAATTTTCAATCTCTGAAAAAGAAATTACAGTAAAAAAAAAAAACAGACACTAAGTAAATAGAATAAAGTAAAGTAAATAAAGATATAATTACTTCAGAATAGCTTTCAGAACTATTATTGGTGTTATAATATGCTGTGGTGTTGGGAGTATACATATTTGCTGACTCGGGTGCAGTATAAATTGAAAATGTAGTCCTACATAAAAAGAAATTAGGAATTTTAGAATTTGCACAAACTATACTTAATATCAACCTTGAAAAATCAAAATTGTTTCAAACAACAAAGCATTTTTTTAAAGAATCAAGAACTATTTGTTATAACATGCTGTGGTGTTAGGATATTTGCTGAATCAGGCTCAGTATAAATTGAAAAAATGTGGTTTTATAGGGACCATTCAAATATTATGTAAGCATGTTTTTGACAATTTTAGACAGCTTTTTTTTTTTTTAACCTTTCATTACTTATTAAAATATGATGCTAGGAGGCTATTTTTCAATTGACAGTATTTCAATCTCTATGAGTTTCAATTTGCAAATGAAGAATAATTAATTGCAATATATTTGTTTCCACCATTATTTTTTAATTTGGTAAAAATAAAATTAAATTGAGTATTTTAGATTACCTTAACACTACTTACATTTGGTTACTCAGAGTTGAAAAAACATTGGTGCCTCCTCCTTCATCCACATATTGGGCACACTGGACTTCCTGTGAAGAAGAAACTTCCTGTTTTTTGATGTCTTGAATTGGAACTGCAATTAAAATTATATTGGAAATGCAATTAACTAATTTCCGTTAAATGTCACAAAAAGAAACAAATAAATTAAACATTAATTATTTTGAAGAAAAAATAGTTGTTCCTATCTTCTTGTTCAAATATTTTCACATTATCTAAGATATAATATATTACGCTTCTTAATATTAGATACCCTTTTTACAATAGTAATAAAGGTTTGCATAACAATCTTAATAAAAAATTTCATATCATTTTAAAGAATGTAATTTTATATAAGATACAAATTTTGAGCAATAATTGGTCCAATAGTTCCTGAGAAATTGCATATTTAAGAAGTTGTATTTTTAAAATTCGATTTCTCAGGAACTATTTCGCCTAATAAAAATATTTTTTTTCAAAATGCTGTAACAAATTGCATACCTTACAATTCAATTTTTTTTTTTTTTTTTTTTTTTTAATTTTTA